AGTCCCTGAGAGAAACTCTACCAAGACAACACAGAGCGAGAATGCGGGCTTGGATCCCCTGCACAGAGTACCCACCAAAGCACTGCCCAGTGGAGCTGTGGGAACAGGACTGCCACCCTCCAGATTCTTGAGTGGTAGAACTACTGGCAACATGTGATTCCAGTCTGGAACGGCCAGGGCATTGGACTCCAAACTGTGAGAGCAAACAGGTGAGCTGTGCCTAGCAAAGCCACAGGACAGGGCTGCCTGAGGACAGCGTCCCTCACACCAGTGTGCCCAGAATGCGAGATTGGAGTCAAATAAAATTATTTTGGAGCTTTAAAATTTACATCCGCCCTGCTGGGTTTGGATCTTGTGTGGGGCCTGTTACTTTAATACTAAATATTAAATGAACTTGTTCAAGGTCACAAAGCTTCTAGGTGTCTTTTGTGAAGGAAGGTACTAAGTTCCCTTGACTGGGCCATGCACCCATCCCCCAGAGCTGCCAATAGCTCACAGCTTCCCCTTCTCTGGAGAATCCCTTTTGGCCGCCACTCTTGTCCACTTTAGCTAAGAGTCTTTGCCTCCTGGAGGAAAGGAGGAGTCTGTGATTGACTGATGGTTGCAAAGACCAGTCCCCTTGCCTCCAAGCGGACTCCACTGTGTAATTCAATTTTGACTCTAGAGGCACTTCTGCAACCCGGCCAAAGCCAGGCTCCGGAGAGACCACATCTTCAGTCAGACTTTCCCTCTGGCCCCCCTCAGCTCCCCTCACTCCCCTTGTCCTGAGAGCGCTCTCTTAGGAAATCATGCACACCAGAATCTCAGTCTCAGGTTTTGCTCTCAGAAAACCCCACCTCACAACGACAGTGGCCAAGCCAGAGTGAGTCCGTGCACACGGGCACTGGCATTCAGCTGAGGGTATGTAGGCAATTCGGTCCAAACTCTGCAAGCCAAGCTATGCAGGGGATGTGCCTTTCCTCACTTCCCTGAACACACTGATTGGTCTGGGCTTGGCCTTGGGCTGAGCTGGGAGTCAAAACCCTGGAGCTCCAGCTTTAGATCCCAGGCTTTCAGTCACTGTATGGTGTCTCCTTATATCAAGTAAGCGATACTAGTAAGACTAAAGGGACAGAGGGGGAAAGACATGCAAACCAGAAGATGTCTGTGTGTCTCTTCCTCTCATCAAACAATCATAAATTTATGAGAAAAATTCTATTTAAAGAACTGTTTCCTGAAACATCTGGGAGTCAGTTGCTCTCCTGATATTTTGTAAACCCTTACATTTCCTAAAAATGAGGATATTCTCCCACATCACCACAAGACAACCATCAAAATCAGGGAGTTAACACTGGTATATCAGGGGTATCGGATTCTCAGACCTCTTAGCATTCCCCCAGGTGTTACAATAGTGTCTTTTAGAGCAGAAGAATCCAAACCAGTTGCTGCGTTTAGATGTAATTTCTCTTTAATTCTTCGTCAGTATGGAACACTTCAAAATTTGTCTTTGGCTTTCATGGCATCGCTTACTTCGAAGATTCCAAGCCAGTGACAGACCAGGTGTAGAATATTCCTGGTCTGGGTTTGTCGGTTGTTTTTTCAGGATTTTGTTCAGGTTTGCCTCCTTGGTAGGAATATCACAGAGGTGACACTGCATTCTCTCTGTGTCCTATCAGGTGTCCTGCCATTGGTTTATCTCATTTCTGATGGTGTTCATTCTCATCCCTTGATTCAGGGACTGTCTTCCAGCTTTCTCTATCGTAAAGTTACTCTTTTCTTTTTTTCCTGTTTCCTTCCTTCCTTCCTTCCCTCCCTCCCTCCCTCCCTCCTTTTCTCCTTCCCTCTCCCTTTTTCTTTCTTTCTTTATTCTTTCTTCTCTCTCTCTCTTCTTTTGAGACAGGCCTCCATGGTGTCACTCATGCCGGAGTGTGGTGTGTAACCATAATGCACTGCAGCCTCCAACTCCTGGACTCAAGTGATCTTCCCACCTCAACCTCTTGAGTAGCTGAGGTTACAGGTACACACCACCACACCCAGCTAATGTTTTTTTTTTTTTAATTTTTATTTCCAGAGATATGATCTTGCTTGCAGTCCAGGCTGGTCTCAAACTCCTGGTCTCAAGTGATCTTCCTACCTCAGGATCCCAAAGCATTGGGATTACAAGTATGAGCTACTGAGCCTGGCATCCTCTTTGTATATAATGGGTATGTTGTCAGTAGTACTTTGAAACTATGTAAGTATCTTTATCAAACTTTCAGTTGATTAATTATATTCCTGTATAATTATATGTACTCATGTTTTCCTATTTTATTCAATGGGTTATAATCTCTTAATATCTTTATTGATTGGGATGACCAAATTGTCATTGATTTGGTCAGTGGAAGCCTACAAGCCTGGCTTCTGTGTTTTTCTGGTATGTATCCATCATTTTTTAGCATTTTCTTGCTTTCTGGCACAACAAGGTGTCCCAGGCTCATTTTGTATTTTCTGAGCCCTGGCCCTGGAGTCAGCCATTTCTCTAAGGAGCCCTGGTGCCTTTCAGTGGAAAATGATATTTATAAGCAGTGACCTGAAAACTAGGTGTGCTCATTGACATTGAAATCCCATTGTTGCCTAGACCTATCATTGGAGAGAAGTAGGGAATATATGTTTTTACACACACACACACACACACACACACACACACACACACACACATTCACCCACAAACACACACATCTACATCTATCCATCTATCATCTATTTTTCATCTATCTGTATCTCTCTAATGTGTGAATTTGCACTGATACATTCCACTCCAGTCTGACTCAACAGGGTTTATTCCAGTTTTCCCCCCTTCTGAATCAGCCTTCCTTCTCCTACAGTGAGAAACCAGGCTTCCATTATCGTTAATATATTTACTTATTTGATCAACCCCCTTTGTGTAGCCACTCCCCACCCAACCCTCCCTGTTGGGAGCCGGCCATGGAGGCCCAATGAGCATTAGGGATCAGGGAGGGCCAGGAACCCCGAGACCACTAGGATGTGTTCGGGAGCCATTGACCCCATTTTCCTCCTCCTTTTACCATGCAGTGCAAGTACCTAAAGGAACTCTGCTGATCTAAGCTGAAGGCTCTGTGGCTGTGACAGGCATGGCTCACTCTAGAAACTCATTGTTCCTGTTTCCCATAAACTGCGTTTTCGGCTTAGGTATTAGATATAATTCAAATTAAGGCCACATTTGGGAGCCTTTTATATGGTACAATCTTCTTTATAAGATTTAAAAGTATATTTGTAGAATTAGCATATACTTATGGAGAGCTGTTTTCAGCTTTTCAATGGTATAGATGATTATCTAGAGTTATGAGAAATGGCCCAGCACAAACTTTGGGCTGGGCCACATTCCTGAGGGCCCAGCACATACTTTGGACTGGGCTGTATCCTTTTAGGCCGGCTTTAGCTACAGTTAGTGTAGGGTTTTTTCTACCTATTATAGAAATTGAATTTATTTTATTCATAGAAAGTATTGTAGAATAGGTCATGCTACGTCAGGGAATCATGTTAGTTCAAGCATGATCAGTCATGATATTTTGAGGTTTATTAAGAATACAGTTAACTTTAGAAATTTCATTGTCTCCATTTTCTACTATTGTGGTTTCGGCTTTAGTACATTTACAGTTTATATTTGGGTTTTATTTTTAGAAGATTTGCTGCTGCTGCTGAGCTCTATATATTAGGATTAAGAATTAGAAACTTTCATAGAAATTAGGATAGATATATAGGACTTTAGAATAGCCATTTTGTTAAGAGATCATAGTCTGTTGTTCCAAAAGGTGGCCCACCGTGAACCTTGGACTGGGCCACATCCTGCAGAAGCCAGCATGATCTTTGGACTGGGCCACATTCTTTAGGAATTGGCTTAAGCTATAACTAAGAGCTTCCGTAGCATTGTGTAAGTAGTGTTAGCATAGAATAGAAAGGTAATAAAGTTTAAGTTAGTCATCATGGGTATTGTGTGTGCATGAGCTTTAGAAGTTATCGATTATCAGAACATCATTATGCTAGTAGGGATTGTTGCACTGCTTTTGAAGAGCATTAACTAGCAAGGGGAACAAGATAACAATCTTGGGGTTTGTCCCTCCTCATACCTAAGAAGGCATCTGGTGGATGGGGGACGCTGGTGGGTGGGGGACACCCCTCCTGCACCTGGCTTTGTGTTCATGTGAAAGACTTGTGAGACTGTTTGTGTAAAATTTGGAGATAAATACCTGCTATAACTTTCAATAAACGGCTTCTGAGATAGACAGAGTCCAGTCTCTTTCTTTCTCTTTATTTCTCCAGAATAATCGCCGACGCTGCCACACCTTCCAAGGGTCCTCCTAAATCTCCCCAAAACTTGCAGGGGCTGGCCCCCCGCACCTCCCCCCTGCTCAGATGCCCTCCCTACCTACATGGGCTCGTTGCATCCTATGTAGGCTTTGGCTGCTGTTGCCAGATCCCCCCTGAGCGGACCTTTCTCTCCTTTCTTGGGTTTCCACACCCAGGTCAAGCCCCTCCACATGGACACCTTCCACATTCCACATGCTCTCCGACTTGGAGCCACCAACACCCCTTCCTGCACCTTAATGTGTGGCCACCACCTTGCTGCCACCCACCGAATGGCTTTAGGACTGGCTGAATTATTCAGAAAAGGAAGGGAAGTGAGGGAGAAGAAAGCTGATACCAGCTGAAACTGACAAATGCTTTTTGGCCTTGGTGCCCAATCAACTGACAAACTGATTGTTTTTTAACTCAATGTTCTTTGTATTAAGACAGTTGAGAGTTGAAGATGGGATATGAGAGGTATGACAAGACATATTTCCTACCCTTCAGAAACATCAAGGGAGCTGAGATAAAACATTAAATCAAAAGTAATAATTTCATGCCTCAGTTGAGTGTTACAAAAATATGTGCTTCAAAAACGGCAGAATAAAACTATGAATATGCTTTCTATGGAATGCAAAGTTATAGTAGCTTAACTTTCACCTATGTTAATAATCAAATTAGAGTTCTGAATCTGTGATTATGATGATCAAAATATTTGGTTGCTGGTTCTCATTCAGTTCTTTAGGCTCCTCCTTAAAGTGCACGAAGGCATAAGACAACACTTTTGTAAAGAGGTGTTTATTGACTTTCTCAATTATTCTCGAATATGGCAAATAAACATGTACTATAAATGTCACTACTACCACCACCGCCATAATTCTCATTTTCCCAAAAAATTATTACTAAACTATTAAGAAATGTTAATTCTCTGATCAGAGCTCAGGAAGAGTTGATGTCACTAACCGGGAATGGGTGGAGATAGCCCTGTGAGAACCACAGAAGCTGAGTCTGCCTATCTGGCACTGATTTAGTCCTCTCTTTCACATGACACAATGTCCAATACACAGACACTGAGAAAGCCCAGTGAATGTTCAGAATCTCTAATCACTCATCACTTGCAGTAGACCAAGTTCATCTTCATTTCTGGGTTCTATTGTCAAAGCAAATTGTGATCTCTGGTGTTGTGGATACAGCTTCTTTGAAGAACAAAGTGGAAGTCTTTAGAGAAGGTTAGGTTCCACTTACAGTCTCATCTCTCAACTCAACCTTTAGAACAATGGGTTTTTCTGGTCGAAGGAGTACCTCTTGCTTGCTTAATTTCAGGGGGATCTGTAACAGTTAAACAAGCATATTGAGAAGCAATAAATGAAGGACCAAGAACAACATTAAAAAATAGAAAAGATACATTAAGGATAATACCTTGCAAACATAAAAACTACTTCTAGCACCATACGCCTTGGATTCTTCATACTCACTCTATAAGTTGTGTAAAAATTGGTTACTGAAAGCTTCCATCCATCCATCATTTAACAAAATATTTATTGAGAAAATGCATGCTGACTCTTTTTAAAAAATGCAAATGATAAGTTAAAAGGATGAGTTAAAAAATTTTAAGCCAGATTCTTAGGCATTTCAACAAACCATTTTCAAAAAGCCATATAAAGTTAATGTTCTATGTGCAGAAACTTGTAAGGTATCTCTGAATAGATATCAAGCATTTTAATTATGTGGGAAGTTAGTCTCTTACTTCTGAAGAGTCCAGTAATTCCTTCCAATGGAAATCGTTCAGCTTAATCATGGGAAGAGAACTTCAGGAAGCATTATGCTTTTTATTTTTCCCCTTAAACATCTCTTCTTGGCCTCCCAGGGATGTGCAAACCAGGGACTTCTCAAGTCCTATGGTCTTTTGACTAATACTTTTAACTCTACTGTCATGGAACCTCTCCTTTAGTGTTGGGGAGACAATGACTGAGTAACTTTCTGATTTCATTTGAATGATGGACAAGCAAACTGCCATGGAGACTGACAGTGTTGGACTTTAGCTGTCTTGAAGTATCTTTCCCATCCCAGATATTTCAGAGGCTGCTTTCTGTCAGGGCTGAGCCACCCAGCCTGTACATGCAGGACAGCCACGCACCTGTCCCATCCACAAATAAGATGGAAAACACCTCCATCCTTCTCCTCTCCCATGCAGAAAGCCTACTTCAGGGGAGGAGTTGCCTATTAAATATGTAAGAGAGATATTTGACTTGAAGCTGAATTTAAAGATGCTCAAGTTCAGAGACACTGTGCACAGTCATGGCAGGCTAACATGTATTGACTTTAGATGATCTTTACGCTGTGGTCTCTAGTATTTCTAGTATTCATCTTAGATCTGCTTGATGTGAATCAAATGACAACCATTTTAAAAGTTCTTCTGAGGATAAATTCCAAATATTTCTAGAAATATGACACATTATTGTTTTAAAATTTCAAATAGCAGCCATATATTTTCCCTGCCACAGACAAATAGACAAAACTTAAAGTTTCTATCCAAGACTTTCACATCAGGTATAAATCACTTCTTGAACACTTATTGAATGCTTACAATGGACAATGTCCCCTGCAAGGTACGACTGGTATTTTATGAAATGAATAAAATGAGGTGCTATTGTTAAGGGGGCAGAGGAAGGAGAGATTTCTAGATACAGAGAAAACTTAGACAACAAAAGTGGATGAGTTAATGGCAAAGTATAAAATTAGGTGATGATAACAGCCTGCAGTTACCAATAACAAAGCAGAGGAGTGAATGAAGCCCTGTACTAGATGGGAAAGAGCTTTTGGAGGCCTTAGTTATTGAACTAGGACTTGACGAGAACAGAATGAGGAGGGAAAGAACATTCATGGACTTATTATTGGGTTGAAAAGGAGCCCAGTTTTTCTGGAGCTGGGCTGTTGGAAGGTGAGGCCAAATAGTCAGGATGACCTTGGCCTGTGGGATTCCTTCAGACCTGGCAGGAATGTAATGCCTTAAACTAGTGATTCTGAACCTTGGTTTCATATGAGAATCAGTAGGAGAGCTTCTAAAACCACACTCTGGGAAAATTATTTCAGAAGTTCTGAGATGACCAAGGGACCACAAAATGTTAAAGGTCTCCTGTGATTCCAATGCAGATCAGTGGTTGAGAACCACTTTTAAGATCACTTTTAAAATCAGTGGTTGAGAACCACTTTCTTTAGCTTATGTATATTCTGGTGAAGGAGAGGACCCTTAAAGAGTCATGACAAAGTAATCACTGTGCTTCATGAGTATGCGAAATGCTCCCCCCTCCAGTTGACTTGAAGCTGAATTCAAAACTGCTCAAGTTCAAAGAGACTGCACATAATCATGGCATGCTGGCATGCATTTGCATTAACTTTAGATGATCTTTATGGTATGGTCTCTATAAAGCCACAGATTTACAGCTACAGAACTGAGGGAAATTTTAAGCTCACGAAAGTCTCCAAATATATTATTTGGCCCATAGAACAAATTATTGAAAGATAAACGAGCATATTCTTTTTTGTATATGAATATTTCACCTAAAAAATCTACCACAGAAACATTATTTATGCAAAAAGTGTACTGTCTAACCTGTGTTTCTTTACAAGGTTTGAAGAAGAAGTTCTGTAGTAATCTCACAAGAGTATGTTTTATATTCATGAGAGCAAACTTCATGCCAATGCAATTTCGGGGTCCAGTTCCAAAGGGCAGATATATGTAAGGCTCTATGCTCTCCTTGTTCTTCTTACTGAATCTGGATTCACAGCAGTAGAAAAATAAGTGAATTAAACATAAAAATCACAAGAGCTACACATTAGGAGCTCTGACATAGACCTCACCAAACAGTAGTATACAAGACACCTTTAAGGACTGGTCACTGAAATCCTGTTATGATTATTGAGCCATAAGAAGTATAAACCACAGATTATTTTATTTCTTCTTATCCTATAGGAGCTTTCAGTTTTATTGAGATGAAATAAATACTGTTTAAAATAATATATTTAAAGACTAAAATTACATTCTGGGGAGTAATGTGTTCACGCTTGGAAAGGAGTCCAAACTACTTGGGAGGCTGAGGCAGAAGGATTACTTGAACTCAAGAGTTTGAGACTGTAGTCAGCTTGACTGAACCACTGCATTCTACCTTGGGCAACAGAGTAAGCCCGATTTCTTAAAAAACAAATCAACAAAGAAACATCAGCTTCAAACTGTACACTAGAAAAAATGGACCCAACAGACATTTGCAGAACATTCCATCCAACAGTTGAAAAATGCACATTCTTCTCAACTGCACGTGGAACATTTTCCAGAATAGATCCTACATAGGTCACATAACAAATCTCAACAAATTCAAAAAATTGAAATCATATTGCATATATTTTCTGGCCATAATGAAATGAAACTAGAAATCAATAACAGAAGAAGCTTCAGAAACTATACCAATATATGTAAATTAAACAACATATTCCTACACAATCAATGGATCAATGAATAAATCAAAAGAAAAATTAACTGAGACAAATGAAAATGGTAATACAACAGACCAAAACTTATGGGATACAACAAATCAGTCTTCAGAGATACATTTATAGCAATACACATCTATATCAAAAAAACTCTTTAGGAGACTGAGGCAGGAGGATTACTTAAGGTCAGGGGTTTGACACTAGACTGGGCAACATAGTGAGACCCTGTCTCTACGAAAAATATTAGTCAAGTATGGTGGCATGTGCCTGTGGTCTTAGCCAATGTGGAGTCTGGGATGTTTGCTTGATCCCAGGAATTTGAGGTTGCAGTGAGCTGTGATCATGCCACTGCACTCCAGCCTGGGCAGTAGTGCTAGACCCTATCTCTAAAAAGAAATAAAAATTGAAAAGACTCTCAAATAGACAGCCTAAGAAACTAATCTCAAATTAGTAGAAGGAAAGAATTAGTAAAAATCAGAGCAAAATGCATGAAATAGAGACCAAAAAATATGAAAGATCGGTGAATGAGGAGTTTTTTTGAGATTAAAAAAGACAGACTTTAGCTAGACTAAAAAAATATAAAATTAGAGATGAAAAAGAATATAGTACAATGGATACCACCACAGAAGTACAAGGGATCATAAGAAGCTACTATGAACCTTTATATGCCAGCAAATTGGAAAATTTAGAAGAAATAAGCACATTTCTAGGCACATACAACTTATCAAGATTAAACCAAGAAGGAAATCTAAACAGACGAATAATGAGTAATGAATAGTGAGATTGAGAAATAAAAAATCTCCCATTAAAGAAAAGTCCAGGACCTGATGGCTTTATTGTTTAATTCTACAAAACATTTACAGAAGAGCTAATTCCAATTCTTTACAAACTATTTCAAAAAAGTTGAAAAGGAAAGAACTCTTTCAAACCCATTCTGCAAGGTCAGTATGACCTTGATTTCAAAATAAGACAAGGACAATAAAAAGGAAACCACAGGCCAATATCCCTACAGAACATAGATGCAAAATTCCTCAATAAAATACTGACTATAAGAACTTAGCACCACATTAAAAGATCATTCACCATGATCAAGTGAGACGCAAGGATGGTTTGACATTCACTTATCAATAAATGTGACATCAACAGAATGAAGGGCAAAACCCATATAATCATTTCAATAGATGATGAAAAAGTAGTTGATAACCTTTTACATCCCCTCATGATAAAAAACACTCAACAAATTGGATATAGGAGGAATGTAATTCAACAAAGAAAAGGCCATATATGAAAAACCTATAGACAACATAATTCTGAATGGGGAAAGTTAAAAAGTTTATCTTCAAGATATAGAATAAGACAAAGGTGCCTTCTTTCACTACATAATACTGGAAGTCTTAGTAAGAGACATTTGGCAAGAAAAAGAAAAGTATCTAAATTGGAAAGGAGAAAATCAAATAGTCTCTCTTTGCAAACGGCCTGATCTTATGTATATAGAAAACACTAAAGACTCCACCAAAAGTTGTTAGAACTAATAAATAAATATAGCAAAGTTGCAGGATACAAAATCAACATACAAAAATTAGTAGCATTTTTATATGCCAACAGTGAACTATCTGAAAAAGAAACTTAAAAGGCAACCCCAGGCTAGGCATGCTAGCTCATGCCTGTAATTCCAGAACTGTGGGAGGCTGAGGCAGGAGGACAGTGTGAGACAGGAATTCTAGACCAGCCTCAACAACATAGTGAAACCCTGATTTAAAAAAAATCAAATTAAATCAGCCAGACATGGTAGCACATGCCTGTAGTCCTAGCTACTTGGGAGACTGAGGAGGGTGGGTCACTTGAGCCCATTAGTTCTAAGCTACAGTGAGCTATGATCACACCATTGCACTCCAGCCTGGGAGATTCCAGGCTGTCTCACACAGAAAAGCAATCCCATTTCCCACTCATAATAGCTACCAAAAAAAAAAAAATTACCTAGGAATAAATTTAACCAAGGAGGTAAAAGATCTTAACAATGAAAACTATAAATCATTGATAAAATAAAGAAGATACAAATAAATGAAAAGATACCTTGTGTTCATGGAATGGAATGATTAACACTGTTAAAGTATCCAGAACACCCAAAATAATCCATAGATTCATCACAGTCCTTACCAAAATTCAAATGTCATAGTTCACAGAAATAGGGAAAAACATCCTAAAATTTGTAAGGAACCACAAAAGACTCCAAATAGCCAAAGCCATCCTGAGCAAAAAGAACAAAGCTAGAGGCATCACAGTACATGACTTCAGAATATGCTGCGAAGCTATAATAACCCAAATCGCACAGTACTGGCATAAAAACAGACACATAGACCAATGGTCCAGAATAAAGAACCCCAAAATGAATCCAAACCTCATGTTGAAGTTTTATCCCTGGAGTGGTGGCACTGGGGGCTGGGGGTCTAGTGCTATGTGTTTGAGTCAAGGGGGCAGATCCTTCAAGATTGTCTTGGTACCATTCTTGTAATAGTGAGTGAGTTCTCACTTTTGAGACACTGGATTTTTTTCTCTCTAGGTAAATGGATTAGTTCCCATAACAGTGGGTGTGTACAGAGCTGGGACACTCATGTGTGGTCCCTCTTTGCACATGCTTTCTTCCCCTATGATGTCCTCCACCATGTTTTCACACAGCACAGAAGCCCCCACCAGAAGCCAAGTGCGAGCATCAGCTTCTTGTACCATCTGCACAGCCATCGGCCAAAGAACCTCTGTTCTTGACAAGTTACCCAGCCTTCTGTATACCATTGTAGCAACCCAAGCTGAACGGAGACACCATGGATTTACAGTCAACTGATTTTTCAGAGGCACCAAGAACACGCATCAGGGAAAAGAACAGTCGCTTCAATAAGCGATGCTGGAACGCTGGATGTCCATGCACAGATGAATGAAACCCCACCTCTCGCCATATCCAAAAGACAGCCCCACTGGGTGAAAGACTAAAGTGCCATCGCCGCCATCCACTGGGCGCTCACGGAAAAGGAAGTTCTGCGTGGAGAAGGAGCGCGTGGAGTGATCGTAAGAGCTCTGGATCCGTTGCCCCCTCCCAGCAGGGTATGAAACGTCAGGTGCACGTGGGGGAAAAACCTGGGCCGGACGCAGCGGGGGGACCCGAAGCACAGGTGGGATGAGGAGCACAGGCCACCGCGGGAAGGCCCGTCTGGGGGGCCCCGGTGGCACGTCGGACGGATACCTCCTAGGGCAGGGCAGCGAGTGGAGACCCCGCCCATGACTAAAGGAAGCACCCTGAGCGCGCCTGGAAGGGCGGAACGCCCCGCAACCAGCAGGGAAGCCCTTGGACACACGGGGAACAAGAGGGCAGGCCTAGCAATCCAGGCGCCCGTCCATCCTGCGCGGCGAGCTGGGCAGGGGTCGGGGCCGAGACCGCCCCGGGAGAGGAGCGGGCGAGCAATTCTGCGTCGCCTGGAGTCGACGCGCCCCTCCCTTCTCGCTGCGGCCGGCCCGTCACCGGCGTCGCGTGGCCGACTCGGGCCTGTTCGGGCTCGCAGAGGAAAGAGCTGTAGTGACAAGCGCCTGCCCCAGGGCGGAGCTCCACCCTCGCTCCCGGGAGACGAGATTTCTCCGGCGAAGGGGGCGAGACCCAAAGGCGAGCCGCGCTCAGACTTGCAAGGAGACGCCGCACGAAAGAGCAACCACGGGGCACAGACAGCGACAGGTCGCCGAAGGCCTGTCCCAGCCGACCAGCACAGAAATCAGCAGATGGATGGCACAAATGGACGGGAAGCAAGACGAACGTGCAGCCAAACTCAAGAAATCATACAGGAAGGAAAAGCAGAGTTGGCCAACTTCAAAAAGCCTACTCTGAAATAATAGAAATAAAGAGATCCATTCATATGGAAACATAAACGAACACAAATAGCGTAAAACACTCCTTAGCAAAAGGAACAAAGCGGGAGGCATCACACTTCCAGACTTCAAACTTTATCATAATGCTACGATCATCAAGACAACCTGGTATTGGTACAAGAACAGGTACATAGACCAGTGGAACAGGATAGAGATTCCAGAAGCAACGCCTCAATTCCTCAACCAACTCATCTTTGACAAAGCCTCCAACAGCAATCACTGTGGGGAGGAGAACCTATTCGGTAAATGGTGCTGGGAAAACTGGCTGACCACATGCAGAAGATTGAAACAGGACCCTTACCTAATTTTTGTATACACAAAAATTAACTCTAAATGGATCAAAGGCCTAAATGTAAAACCTCAAACTATAAGAATCTTA